CAAATGGTCCATAGGATAACCCCTGAAATGAATGACCATATGAGAGAATTAATCCTCAAATCAGCCCATGCTAGGAGAAATATTTTAGCATCAACATGAAAGACAAATTGAATATTCTATAACCTCAAGAATTTATTCCAAATTGTCCAAACCACCGAACAACTAAAAAACAAATGTGAGGGTGTCTCATCAATCTGTTTGCACAGAGGACACAACAAATCATCTATACCCTTTATACCTCTGTTAACCGGAACTGACTTAATTGCCAGCTTCTGTAAAATAACTTGCTAGACAAATGTCTCTACTCTTGGAGGCAGCAATCCCCTCCAAATAACATTTTTCCAGAAGTGAACCTCTTCCGAACTTGATGTCCCTAAATAACACTGAGTAACACAATATTTGTCAGTAAATACCCCTCTCCAGTGCCCTTCCAGACCAACCCATCAAATGAGTCAACTGAAAGGGAAAAGTTTGAAATGATTGTCATTAAATTAGACCACTGCTCATATTCCCAATCATTCAATTCCCTTCTCAATTGTATATCCCAAAACCAGCCGCCTGAACTAAATTCATCAAACTCTGATAATTTCCTAGCCTTGTTTACTGAAATGGAAAACAATTTTGGAAAAATGGTCATTAATGGTTGTTCCTTTGCCCAAACATCTTGCCAAAAACGAATGATACTCCCATCACCAACCAGAATTCTGTAGTTGTTTCTGATTTTACAACCAGTAGGGTCTTTTCTGAAATGATTGTTCACCAAAGATCTCTATATCCAAGAAAATTTTGGCGTTACCTTACTATCAAACAACAGTAAAGTAGAGTCTAAATTGTATTTAGAACATATCAATTTCCTCCAATCCGCCTTCCTTTCGTTTGCAAATCTCCAAGACCATTTTTCTAAAAGTGCTCTATTTACCATGTTGATGTTCGGAACCCCTAGCCCACCTTCGAATTTCGGTTTACACACAGTGGACCAGCCCACCCAATGCATCTTGTTTTTTCCATTTCCTCCGCCCCATAAAAAGTTGGACATGATTGAATTTAGTGACTTGTAGACCGAATCCGGGACCTTAAACAATGACAAATAATATGTAGGAAGCGAGCATAAGACATATTTAATTAATACCAACCTCCCTGCCAAAGAAAGTGAGGGTGCCTTCCAACCTGCTAACTTCTTGTTGAAACTGTCAACCACTGGACCCCACAGTAGAGGATGCCTGCCCTCTACTGGTTTTGAGATTTGCTATATTTCAGCTAGAAGTATATATACATATGTGTATGTGCATTATGTTTTTTCTATTTTATTTTCATCTGAACTTACGAAGGTTCATATTAAAGTAAGTTGAATACCTCTTGCAGTAGTTCAATATTTTCTTCCTTTTGAACTACTGCATTTGCAATGTTGATTGCTGATCTAAGACAGACTTCACTTTATAATGCGAACCCTGAAGTTGATGTATGTTAAGGCGTTCTTATTATTTTGAATTAATATCATGAAGCTGAAAGGTATAGTTTATCCCAAAAGTTAAGGATTCCGGACCTTTACGAAAATCTGCATGATTGAAAAGTGTGCAAGAGCTAAATCTTATTGTTTAATTATGCATATCCATCTCAGTCATCTTGCTATTGATTATTGAGTTTGAGAATTTGATGCAAAATGCAATTTGTATCTATTTTAAATCTTTTAGCAGAAAAATTGTTGATAGAAACTCCTTGAATCTTATCCTTCTCCTTCCTTTGTACCAGAAAATAGCTTGGCTGGCAATATTTTACATGTGTAAACCGACTGGATATGCACTTGGCTATGTATATGGTGGATTAGTAAGTCTTTTTTTCAAGCTCTCTTTTAGTTATAACCTGTTTCTTTCAAAACAATTTCCTTATTTCCTTCCTATTTCATAGATTAAATTCGAGATGATGAACGAACAGCAAGCTTTCTTTTGGAACAGGTTGGCAATCATTTGAATTGGCGTTTCACATTCTGGGTTGAAGCCATTTTGATGCTTCATTTTCTATTCTGGGTTTTGTTATGAAACCTTTGCATTTGAAAGGTGCGAACTTCGGATCCTTAGCTACTCTGATTGTTCCTATAGGCTATCTTCCAGTTACTTTCTAATGATTACAGGTTTTGCAACTGTTGAATATAAGAAAGCACTGATCTCCGAAGATATGGCCATACCAGAAGTTCAAGGTGCTGCATAATAGACATTCTTGTTATTTATGTTATGTTATTTACCAGATAAGAACACACCAGTTATCAAAATATAAAGCCTTTAAAATGTCTTACTTTCATCATACACTCCAATTACCTGGTCTTGCAATAGCCAAAATCTAAGATTTTCTTTGGCAAAGATTTGCTTGAGAAGTAATGTTTCTTCGAATATTAGGTTCGAAGTTGAATCATTGCCCAAATAGTTCACCTTATGTGCAATATGATTCAATAAGTTGCTTGCTGTTTCTATTTTCAGTCACAACTTCTTGTTAAGTGCACATTTTAGGTTTCAACAGAAGTTAAACAATACATAAGCCTCGTTTTGTGATCTGCCCTCCGAACTAAGTTTTTTACTTGTAAGATCTCTTATTAATTGTATGTGCTTAACGTTTTTCTTACTCCTGATGAAGACACAAAGGCTTCAAATATTAAAGGTAGTGCAAAACCCGTGAAGGAAGTATTCAGCAATATGTTTTCCAAGTGAGAACCACTGTCTTGAAGTTCATAGTATATGATCTATATAATTGCTTATTTATAGGCCTTTATTTTGTATAGCAGAAATTTCTTATTACATAAAAGTAATTGGACAAACATATATCTGTGCTTCGGTCTGGTTAATAGCGTTCTTCTGTTCTTTCCCCCTATTAGTAATATGATTGCCAGCAAATCTTATTCATATAGTAAGTTCATCATGGAGGTTTTGGTTTGAAATCTCATTTGAAAAGTGTTCACATCTTTGAATCTTTACCTGGACAGGATGAAAGTGCACCCATTGATTTGAATCAGTTTTCAAGGTTCATTGAAGACATGAAAGCACTTTTGGTTGACAAAGTTTACGTTGTCAACATTTTAGGTATGTCCATTTCGCTTTTGAGTTCTGTTATTGCATCTCTGAAAACAATCATGCAGACCTTCTATTTTAATTTCCAGTTTCTTGAAATTTTTTATGCAATTTCTGTGTTTCTGGTTCAGTGAGTTGTTCACTCGTTGAATTACATATCTTCGAAAGAACTTCATTTTGGGGGACAAGCTAACTTGAGAACAGCCAATTTTCAGGTCATTGTGCATACAACTGTGTTCTAGGTGCTTATTCTTATTGGGGGCCTAATGCTGGTTACAATATTTATAAAGTGGTAAGCTTTTATAGCCAATTTGACCATCAATATACTTCATAAATTAATGTCTAAGATGTCCATTATTGCTTAAAATTTATGTCTTTTCGGATAAATCGACAAATTCCAAATGGGACTAAGAATCATACCAAAGTAAATGAACAAAATGACTTGGTGATAAGATAAAATTCAAGTTAGGGTCTTCTTGCAGAGTGATGCAGACATGATATTTGGAGGAATAACCATTGTCTGTGGGATATTGGGCACACTAGCAGGAGGCTACATTCTGGATTACATGACTTCCACAATCCCCAATGCTTTCAAAGTAGGTTTTCATGCATATATAGTAGTAAATTACATGCTTTCGCTCCGGGGCTGTTAGCGTGATTGTTCTTCATTCCCTGAACTTTTCCCCCCTCTTTTGCAGCTTCTCTATGTAACAACATTTGTTGGGGCAATCTTTTGTTTCACTGCCTTTTGGTTTAAGAACATGTATGCTTTCTTAGCTCTTTTCTCAGTGTGTGAATTACTGGTCTTTGCCACTCAGGTAATCTCATTTCCTAAAGCAAAACCGATCCCTCACACATACTAGTTATTTGTTATTGTGGCATTACATTTTTATTCGGATGAAACATCATGTAGTTTTCTTGCTTCTAGTAATTGATTCAATATCTGTCTACTGAGATGAATACTTGATTCGGAAACCTCCGAATGTGTTCTTGACGGGAACAACCTAAGGGTGATGGAGTTATTTCGTGTTAGTTTTAAGATATGTGGGAATTAAATGGTGTATTACATTTGTAAACTAACTGAGAGATCTTGTTTGTTGAGATATTAAAAAGCTTTTCCACTTATGTTATTACTACAAAAATGGCATGTCATGAAGCTAGAACTAAAGACTTCCTTGCTACAAAGTTACTAAATCTTTCCTGTTTCAGGGTCCTGTAAATTACATGTCTCCACACTGTGAAGTCAAGTTTGAGGCCATTAGCTATGGCTATCTCTACCGTCTCCATTCACATATTCGGCGATGTGCCCTCTTCGCCACTTGTGGGGATCCTCCAGGTTTGTCTTTCAACAAATTCTGAATGTACCTTTCATTCATACCACAAACTCCCATCATCCATCCAAAAACCATAGAGATAAAGGTTTAAAAATGAATAAAACTAAACTATATGGTTTTTGCAGGACACTGTCAACAATTGGAGAGAAACTTCTCTTATTCTAACATCAATTCTGTTTCCAGCAGCTGGGATATGGTTTATAGGTATCCTCCTTTGTCATGTCCCTGATGTTTTTCATTTTCCTGAAGGAAACAAGCAAAAATGGATCATTTTTCACTTGGAAAAGTGATGAATTTGGAAATTTGCATGGCTGAATAAGTACGGCATATGTTGCAATGTCAGGAACATTTCTTCACAGTGTGGATAAGTTCAATGAAGATGGTGAAGAACAAGTTACTGATGTTGATGGATCAAATACAACTCCTTTACTTGAACCTGGAGTTGTATAGGTTTACAAGAGTCTTTAGCATTTTATAAATGGCAATTGTTATTTCCATATTCCAATGACTACATTTTATTCCCTGAAATCACAAACATTAAACCATTACATTGTTCAAACCCTTTGCCCTTTGTCTTTGTTGGTTCCCACTTCTCATCAGGTTGAAGCGTACTGCTAGAACTTATCCACAACAGAACAACCATATGAATGTGAAATCCAGTCCCGGTTTTCATAAAAAAAGAATTCTGATGTGTTCAAATGATAAGCAGATAGAAATTCATTGGTATTGAAGTCATATGATTACCAAGACATGCTTTCCAAAGGCGAAAAACTCATTTTTTGTGAAGTTTAAATTTGAAAGCATAGCCTCTAATGTTCCGGGTAGTAGTTATACGAGCGAAAAGTTCTCCGGCGGGAATCGATCTTTTGACAAGTTTAGCCCAAGACTCATTAGTCTCTGTAATGACCTTAAGAGCATATTCCTGCACCATGCATCATAATGTAAAAGAGCATAAACCTGAATAAGCTCGGAGACACTCGAGTAGGGAAAATGAAACAAAACGAATACACACCCTGCTTGCTACCTCGTTGCCAAGACCAAACTTGTTAGCTGGTTTTTCATCAGGGATCTTGTAGTCTCTAAACCAATTTCTAATTGCAATCAGAGTCCCCTGAAAACATCACCAGATGGATGCTGAAGAAGTTTTTGCAATTGTGAGATAACCATGCTTAAACTTGTTTAAACGATTCAATTTCATAACAAGTTCAACTGGCATCTGCAATATCAGGAATCTAACTTATAACAAAACCTGCAAAAGTATGGAGAGAAGTACCGGGAAATGCTTCTCGACATCATCGACATCATTCACAAGAGAAGCCATGGTAACTATTTTCCAGTCAAGTTCCCCTTCATCGATCATGGCTAAAGCAGCCAAGGGCTTAACCTTCAGAATTTCACCAATCTCTCCCCGGGCATCACCAATCTCCACAAAATCAACTACGGATACAACGAAACAATAACATCAAGATTTCAAAAGCAACTTTTCACGACAAAAGAAGAGAACGTAGTTAAAAAAAATTCAAATACTGGAAGAAGTACTAGTAGTACTAGGGTCATTATCACCAAATGCTCCCTCAACTTCAGAGTTCGCAAAAGATGGATCTTCCCATGTTTGTAGAAGCAATCCATAATTCCAGTTTATATTATAGCTGAGGGACAATGAATGGAATTATATATAAATAAAGCCCTCTAAATAAACATACTAGACTAGACAATGAAAACTCACAATAGAAAGAAGCTAAAAAAACATAATTAAAACCAGAAAATCTTACGGGTAATATCGAAGCTTTCCCTTCTTTGTATCCTGCTTAATGGGAGTGTATAGCTCATCAGTAGCAACCTCCATTTTTGCGCTTGATTCTTTGGGTATCTCAACAATGAAGTTAAAAACACCATCTCCCAATTGGAATGGAATGTCATGCAAAGAGAAATCTAAGCCAACGCCAAATCTCGGTTACCATTGAAAACATTATATTACTCCAAATACAACTTAAATTAAATTTCAAAGATTTCCGAACAAAAGAAGGAAAAAAGGTGAGAAAATACCTTCTTGCCGGAAGTATTTTCGAAGAAGACTCTATAGTCGAGGGTCTCGGGTTGACCTTCTCGCTTTATCTGAACCTGAGGGTTATAAATGGCATTGCAGTAAAATAATCTTTCCGACAATCGTCTGCCATCGTTGAAGCTAAGAGCGTTGATGCCGCGTTTCAAATCGAAGGGCGTTTTGAGGAGGATGCGGGAAGAGGCTGCGGCGGTGGCGTTGCTGCCAAAGGCGGCTCTGGTTGTTGCTGCCATGGTTACTTTTTTTTTTGGTGGTGGACACTGGACACTCGATCAGTGAAGGATTGGTTGGGAGTTCGGTAGTTTTTTGAGAGCAGACAAAGCTATCTATAAATAGTAAATCAATAACTGATAAGTAAATTAATAAAATATTTTACCAAAAAATATATCATAAAGTGTTATTATAAATAAAGAAGAAAACAAGCGAAAGAAAAAAGAGGCAGAAACAGCCCGTCATTATTATCAAAGGGATTTCGCAAATACCACTTGGATTTATAAACCCTAACTCCCTAATCCCCGGGAATTCCAAGTATTTTTTATAATTAAAATCCTTTCAGATTTATAGAACATGACTTCTTCAGAGATCGAGGTGGTATCATCAGAATCAGAACCGAAAACAACCCAACAACAAAACTCTACTCAACATTTCCCTATAATCGACGTCTTCTCGGCCTCTGCTTATGGAGATTTTGATAAACTGAGAAAATTCGTGGAAGAAGAGGGTGCCTCACTTGCAACACCTGACGGTAACAGCTATTACGCCCTTCAATGGGCTGCTCTTAACAACTTCTCCGATATTGCTCAGTACATTATCGAGGTAAATTTGGACCTTTTTAACTTTCTGGTGGGTTTTTCTTGAGACCTAAATAACATTTTGTTTGCTAAATGTAATTGAAGCATGGTGGAAATGTGAATGCAACTGACAACAACCAGCAGACAGCTTTGCATTGGGCTACAGTTAGGGGGTCGATTGCGGTGGCAGATGTGCTCTTGCAAAATGGAGCCCGGGTCGAAGCAGTTGATCTCAATGGTTATCGTGTAATTATTTTTGCTTTTATCTTTCATTATCTGTTCAGTCTTGGTTGTCCATAACTCTTAACGGGGCTCTAAAATCCTTCCTTTTTAACTTGATTACATGATATCCACTAGACTTAAATAGTGCACCAGAGGCATGATTTATACTTAAATCAATCTATTTCCATCGTCGTGCATGCGATAGTATTTACTTTTAGCTGTGCGTCTCATAACCTTCTTTTTTCCCCGAATACAGGCAGTTCATATTGCTGCTCAATATGGGCAAACAGCTTTCTTAAATCATATTGTTGCAAAATATCACGCGGAATATGATGCACCTGATAACTGTGGAAGGTCACCACTTCATTGGTATGTTTTATGAAATAGGGTAAATGTATAATTCAGAATATTGGTTTAGAGCTTGAGATCATTTAAGTCCAAACTCTAACATAAGGAATTAATTATTGTTTGGACAGAGCCAAATTATTAATTCTGTTCATTTGATATAGCCTTGAAGTAAGTTTTTCTTTTTGGATCTACTTTGTTCTTTATCATTTTATGAATGGGAAATGGTTATAGGTGCACGTGGATGAACCAATATCTCTTTTTTGAATGGGGCTTTTCCCCTAGTATACAGGCTAGTAGTAAGAGGGGATAGCAATTTGGTGTCATGTTTGTAAAACGGGGTTTACCCCTACTATACAAGTGGGCTAGTGCTAAGAGGGTATAACGATTTGGTGCAATATCAGAAGTGGCATAAATTTGATTGTTGTAGCATATTTGGGGATTTAAGGCTTTCACATGTGATTTTGGGCATGTAGTTGATCTACCTCATATACCCAAGCAGGATGCAACCTGCATTGTCAGTCCTAAGCTCCAACCCTTTTTATTCCTTGGAGAGGTGATATTATTTCATTGGATGATGCCTAGGTTGAGGTCAATTGCGGTATGGTTCTTTGAGGTGCTTTCAAATGAACCCTTTGATTTGACTGTTTTGTCATTCATCACTAGTTCCAAAAGCTATAGGAGTTCAATGAAACTGGTAATTGGTTAATTTCTTACAGTACTCTCTATATCTTTGAGGTGATACTATTTGATTTGGGCAATGCCTAGGTTGAGATTCTTTGTGGTGTGGTCCTTTGAGGTCCTCTCATATGAAGTGTTGGATTTGGTGGGTTTTTCATTCATCATTAGATCCAAAAGTAATGCAGGTTGAATGTAACTTGACTGGTTAAGTTCTTACAGTACTTTCTATATCTAGGTTTTTCTAAAGTGTATTGAATTCTTGTTAATTAAATTTTCCATTCATTTGATGTGTTAAACAGGGCTGCATATAAGGGATTTCCGGATACAATTAAATTGCTTCTATTTCGAGATGCATTTTCAGGGAGACAAGACGTAGAAGGTACTATTTGACAATTAATGTTTGCACTTTCTCACATGCAAGTTTTCTAGTTAATTTGATGAATCCAGGTGGAATTACCTTTATGGTTTAAAGTTTTAAAGGTGCTGGGAATCTTTACTTTTCTAACTGAACTCTGTGAACGTTGTTACAATTTATTTAGTGTGCTAAGCTAGAGATTATTCTGTAACAGCTTTAAAACTCACTGCTAGGTTTTTTTATGTTCATTGCTGCCAGGTTGCACTCCATTGCACTGGGCTGCACTGAGAGGAAATGTTGAGGCATGCGTGGTACTTGTGCATGCAGGCACAAAGAAGGAATTGGCGGTAAAAGATAAAGCTGGAAACACCCTCTTAAGCTTGCATCTGATAAAGGTCATCGGCAGATTGCCCTTCTCCTTGTACGTAAATATGTAGTTGTGTTTTTTCTTCTTCTTTTGTTTACCTGAAGTAAACTTTGAACCCCGGAGTTGTGGATGTGGTCTCTAAGAGGAAATGAGCCTTTGGGATTCACCAGTAGTATTGTGTCTGGATTCTTAGTTTTTATTTTGGGGACCCATTATTATAAGGTGTTGCCTTTCTAGGGGGTGTGTGGGGTGCAGTGGAGCTTGAGTCTTGATTGTTTGGCTTTGAATATTAAGGATGGGAATAGCATATCTATCATGTAGAATAGATAATTTTGCTCTGTAAAGCAGCATGGCACCCTATAAAATTTGAATATTTTCATATAGAATGGTATTATTAGTTTTTTAGTTTATTGCTTTTCATGCTCGAGAATTGTATTATTGGTTTAATTTGACGACCGACTAGAAACGAGTTCACAGGGATGGTTTACTCAGTATTTGTATCAAATTCTCAAACCATTTTGTGTGGTATCCCCTATTGTTACATTCTTTTAACCTTCGTTACCTTGTAGATTTTGTAGCTGTTTAATTTTCTTGTGTTATTTTGATTTTTCAGTCTAAAGCAGATAGATCCAATAGCAAACGATTGGTGGACAGAATCCGCAGTGGGAAGATGGGGGAAGTTGGTTATGCTCCTATATTATTTTGCATTGTCATCGTTCTAATTATCCTCTTCATCAACTCAGTTCTTTCTAGTGAGTAGACTATGATATTTAACTTTCAGTAATGGACATGTTTGTTTTTGCCATTGATCATGAATAATCCCTTTAAGTTGCATGTAGCTTCAAGTCTTCCTAAGGTAACTGCCACTATTGGACTTTGGGGATGGATTGGTGTTTCTCTAGGTATTGCTTCGTTGGTTATGTTCTACAGGTGTAGTAGGTAATTGTTATGCTCTGGCTCTATGTTCATTGAGGTGATTTTACATATTTGTTTTAATTTTCTGGTTTTCTACTTGCATATATAGGCAGTTCAATTTAGTTTTTTGGAGCATGATGCATGAAATATTATTGAATAAGCTTTTGGTAATTTAGTCTTATCCGTTATCATTATGTTTCTCTTTCAATTATATGTTCATAGAGCACATTGCATTGTTGAATAGAAGTTTAGATGTGGCTTTGCTTGTATGGTGCTTTTGAATGTTTAAAAAAATGGCACATTTGACAAATATGGATCAATACAAGTAAACTACTCGATAAACATTTTATGATATTCATAATTTGTGACCTATAAATGAAATCATTATCTGATTTAAACAAACTTTGACTCTTGTTTAAATTATTTTTTATATATTTTCTTTATTTTATATTCTCTGCAGCAAAGATCCGGGTTATTTAAAAAAATCTAGAAGATTGGATGGCTATGAAGATACAGAGGTATGGAAGTTTCAGTGTATTTGGTTATAAACTTTAAACTTCAACAGTGGATAGGAATGATAAAAGCTCTGAGTTCCGTGGAGATCACTATATCGGTTAGGCACAAATAGCAGTAATCTTTAAGTGAGCTTGGTCCTGGTTCACATAGTATAATTTCCCCCCTAAAATGTTCTTACAGTTAGCAGATCCCACATGCCATAATGTAATGGTCATAAGTCTTCTGTTTATATTTATTTCTAGCACGCAGTGAACTTGAGTCTTAAACGTGCCTTAAATGGACAGTCCATTATGGTGTCTTTGAATCACTAGTAATCGATTAGAAGGCGAAAGTAGGGACTAAAAGTTCTCTAGCTTAGCCATTATTATGCAATAAATCAAGAGTTTGGGGGCTGGGTCAGGCTGTATAAAAGGTCTAGCTTTGGAGATGCAGAATTTTTATGTAGTTTGGTTGTATAATTAGTCTGGTATGACTTGAAAGGCAACTGAAAGGATGGCATTCATATTGTATGTAATAAAAGCATGGCATCTACTTGATTGTTAGAATCATGAATTAATTTTCAGCACAACTTTCATTCCTTCATGTTTCATTTCTTATGTTAGGTGTTACTTGGGGAGTTTTTTCTAGCTTGATCAATTAACCATAGGATTGTGGTCTGTAGCAGAGCAAACTCGCCTTTTTAAAATTCATTCAAAAGGATGTGAGAGAAATTATAAAAGAAAGATTTTAAACTCTTCATTTTTGCTATTATTTTACTTGAATTGAACCCTTGTTATATTCTCAATTGATAGGATCCGTTGCTGAATATTGATCTGAACAACTCATCAGTATGGACAGGGAACTGGGATCAGCTTTGCCCTACCTGCAAGGTTTCCTGATGAACCTTTTCTTTTAACCATCTATTGCATGTCTACATGAATATTCTCATCTTGCAATGTTGTTTTGAATGATTTTTCTTTGTTGTCAGATAATAAGACCTATTCGTTCTAAGCATTGCTCTATCTGTAAGCACTGTGTTGAACAGTTTGACCACCATTGCCCATGGATATCTAACTGTGTTGGGAAGGTAAGCAACTGGTCTTGAGCTAAAAGTGGAGGATAACCATATAATGAATGTCATCTAGATACAAGGGATCTGTTTGAGATCAATATCTTGGATGCAATTGCTATCATCTACTGGTGCAGATATGCTCAGAAACTCATCTAGGAATAGGTGGTAAATCACTCTTGTTTTTCATTCCTGGAGTGTGAAAAATCATATTCCTTCTGTTGACTCTTAAATAGTTATTTAGTATTTATATCAGTATGATATTGAAGTCACTATGGAGCATTTGGTGATATTGTTAGATATTGAATCGAAGACTAATATGGAGGTCTTGGCCACAATCCAATTCAGTTGCCCAGCTTTCAAATTAATGCTGCAATTCCATTCCATCTTTAGCATCTTCAGTTATTTATTAGAAACTAACTATTTTAGCCCATTTTTTTCACTTTGTCTCCTACTGGATAATTTAAACAATATGCCTACTGCTACTGCAATCTGACCTATTTTTAATTTTCCTTTCGGCCCCCTCTTATCTGCTTTACTTCCTTTGCACTTGCAGAGAAACAAACGTGATTTCTTTGTTTTCATTTGCATGGGAACTTTGACTTCATTCATTGGTGCATTTGTTGCAGTTCAAAGTATGTGGATTAAAGAGAAATAAGCCTCTACTCTTCCTCACCTTTTCTGATTGAGATCAAATTAGTTATATTCTACTAATTTAATAGCTTTGTTTGTGTTATTAGGGATTTGGACAGCAGTACCTGCATTTTCTGCTGGCAAAACATGGATTCATCTTGTGATTGATTATCATCTGGGCATTGTGGCATTTCTCGTTTTGGATGCTGTGATTTTGATTCCTGCTACAACTTTGACCATAATACAGGCATTCCAGGTAAATGAAGAGTCCATTTTCCTGCTTTTAACTTTGGTTCTCTGAACTATTTAAAGATTTTAAGGCTGGTTAAGGAATGGAGAAATGGCAAAATTGATTTTGATTAAGACTGAGCAAATTGTACCCCTTTCTATTTAAGATGGTTTGATTTGTGTTGTTAAAATTTTTCTGGGTGTTTATTTTCTAATGTAGATAGCTCGGAATATCACGACTAACGAAGTATCAAATGCCATTCGCTACGGTTATCTTCGTGGCCCTGAAGGACAGTTCCGTAACCCATATAACCATGGTTACCGAAAGAATTGTACAGATTTCCTCATTCGTGGCTACACAGATGATGAAATTGCTTGGCCTCCATTACAAAGTGTTGGCAGTTAGAGCAAGTATGGTTAGCTGGTGTAGTGTTCTTTATTAAGTAGATTTACACATCCCAAATGACCAGAACAAGCCGTGGGGAAAAATTCCTCTTGAATTTGCTTCCTGGTTAGAGAGGGAGAAAACAGAAGCTTGTTTGATCTACATTGTGTTCTTAATCCTGTATTCATTACAGGAAATAGTCGTCTCCGAATCTGGTTATACTAAGAAATGAAGAGGCGAGGATGTAGTTTCAGAGGATTCCGGTATTTCGGATGTTGGCAATGGGTTTGCATCTCTGGAGGTAAAGTTCCGTGAACACTTACAATGTTTGGTCATGGTTGGAGCTTCCAAGGATTTCCAATGGAAGGAATTAGAGTAGGATTTATGGTAGGCCATCGTTGCTCACGTCCATGTGTTCCACATTATATATAATCTTACTCGTTATAAGATGAAATCACAGTTGCAAGTTATTTATTTATTTGAAAAATGCTTATTTTTAAATATAACTTAAATTATTATATTGCACTTCTTATTTCTCTCTCTCACACAGACATATAACTTTCACTCGTGATAAGTAAGCATGTTAAAGCTTTTTTTTTTTTTTTTTTTGCATATATATTCTCTGTTTTAACTATCTGTATTATCAAATTTAATTACAATTATTTTTAAAATTATATTATTAAAATGAGATATCAGTTTTTTATATAATATTATGCATTTGATATTACCAATGGAATAATTTGAGTTAAAAAAGTTACTCTCATAATAAATCTTTATAACATCCAAATAGGATTAATTTATCAATGAATGAAATATTAATGGTTATAAAATAACAAATATAATAGAAACTTTATAATCAAATTATTATAAAATACTCTTCTTAACACATCATGTGATAAATCATATTCAATCAAAATCAATTTATATTTCAATAGAAAATGACTCTTAACTGATATGAGTTGAATTTAAAATTAGTTTAATTAATTTATATTATCACTTTTAATGAGAAAAATACAACTTGATTTTATTTTTTTTATCAAAGTGTTTAAATTTTTTAAATAGGAATTAATTTAAATAAAATAATTGAGAAATTAAAATTTTATATGAAATTGCAAAAAAACAAATTCACATTCTTCTTTAAAAATCGAACAAAAATTCCCCCATTCTTGGCATATTAAATAAAAAATTATAAAATGTCGTTTATTTTAAATTTTAATATTTTTTATATTTTCTGTTGTCAATAATATAATTACATATTTATAAACATAATCAATCATATCATATTACATCCTTTTCTTTATATACATTTAAAAAAAATTATACCATTATTCTTATTTTGTAAATATTTTTTCTGTATAATATTGCAAGTAATTCATACCATTACATGTTTATTATTAAATAAACAAGCATTATTAAGTCTTTGATAATGTAAACATACATGCAGGAGTGTACGATTTTAGAAGCTTCAATTGCCCGTGATTAACCGACATCTTTAAAGGTCGGTGTGACGGGCAAGTTTCTTTATCTACTGCACCACTCTCCGACACCTATGGTCACCTCATTGGCTGGACTCAAATCCAAGTCAACACACTCATTGCTGGACCAATCACAGTTAAACACATGTATTCCTTACTCATACGTTCATCGCCTTATCAAACAATGTTTCCCTGATTGGGTTCTCACTTGGAATTTTCAGCTGAATCACAATTTTCAACCACTGGTTGGAGATTCTCATTAAAAGGTCTGCAAAACAACAAAAAAGGAAGATGAAGAATTGTTCATAAGCAAGCCCCATTTGTCAGCAAATACGACCAATATATATAAAAAGCTGTTGTCTTGTCATTTAGTGTATAATAAGTAGAAGGATTTCAATGCTGTATTTCACATCAACAACCCGTGATACGACTGGTGGGTATTGGTGGACTTTTATAAACAGGCAAACGTTCTAAAACTTGGAAGAAATCTGGTTCAGTTCCTGGTTTGCTGGAGTTTCGATGGAGATTTCATCGATTCGAGAGTTGCCTGAATTTGTAAGTCTCTTTTGAACTCATCTTGTTCTTATGTGTTGTTGATCTGTTTGCTGTGACATTATCACGAATCTGCAGGAAATGGAGAATCCTTACTTGTTCAATCAGTGGCATGTGAACGAGCTCAGCTTCCTACCAGGAGCGGTTGCTTTTGGAGACGAAGCTTTCTCTAATAATTATCCGGCTGTCGCCATTGATAGACCTCAAAAAATGCTTAAAACCAACTGCTCGAATTCATGCAAAGATGCTGCTGCTGATATACCAAACCTCGAAGCTGTTTTTTCACCAAACGCTCTCTCTTTTTCCGGTTCCAACCACATAGATCCAATGGGGATTTTGAAGCCTAAAAATGAGGCTGATTATTCTATGAACATGGAGCCCTTATTTCATCAAAACCAGAATTATTTGCTTAAGGGTTGCCATGGATCTAAGAGAATTTCCCAGACACATGGTCATATCATGGCTGAAAGGAAACGCCGAGAAAAGCTCAGCCAAAGGTTCATAGCTTTGTCTTCCATAGTGCCTGGCTTAAAAAAGGTACAAATACATACATACATACATACATACATACATACATACATACATACATACAGTATTTGTGTTTTGTATAATATTGCAATGGGATGAACAGATGGACAAAGCTTCGGTGCTTGGAGATGCTATAAAGTACCTGAAACAACTGCAGGAGAAAGTGAAGACGCTGGAGGAGCAGACTAGAAAGAAATCAATGGAGTCGGTAGTTTTCGTGAAGAAATCCCAACTCGCCGCCGATATTGATGACTTTAGCTCGGATCAAAACTCTAGTGGTCCCTTTGATGAGCCATTGCCGGAGATCGAAGCAAGGTTTTGCGACAAAAGTGTTCTCATAAGAATCCACTGTGAGAAAAGAAAAGGACTTTCCGAGAAAATCATGTCTGAAATCGAGAAATGCCACCTAACAGTCATTAACAGCAATGCCATGACATTTGGGAGTTGTGCTCTCGACATAACCATTGTCGCTCAGGTACTTGCACAATTTGTCTGAAACAATGACAAATCATTATTCAATTAATATTCTCCTTTTCTCCATGGCAGATGGATAAAGAATTCTGTATGACAGGAAAGGATATCGTGAATAAGCTTCGTGCAGCTTTTGAATGGCTCATGTGAATGAACAATCTCCTTTCAACTACCATACATAACACTATATATAATAATAAGCTTTTAAAAACTAAAGAATAATATCTGAAAAACAAAGGGCTTTTAATGCTCCGCCATTGAAGACCATCATCATCAAGCTACTGTTAGTTGATGAGAGGTTGATTTTTGCAAGAGGGCTGTTTACAGTCAAACTTTTTTTGCATGGTCCCCTTCTGTTCGGCCATGTTAATTCCTTCTTGCTTTAGAGTGGACAAAGTAGCCTTTGTTGGAGTGTTTTAGAGGAATCCTGGGCCTCTTTTCTTATTGTAATATCTATGCATCACTATCTGGATTTTGTAATAGTTTGAAAAACATTAATGAAGTAAAGTTGTGATCTTTGCTCGAATATAAACCATTGCCATGTGTCTGTGTTTTTGGTAATGTTTGTGGTCTGGGAAAATCCCAGATTTGTAAAAACAGAAGAAAATAAATAAATAAAAACATGGCATACAGTTTGATGGTGATTGTGAAGTTGCCTTTGAAAACAGGGACTGAATTGGACAATTGAAAAGAGTGGCATATAATTTACGGGTGAGTTGAATGGATTGTTTTAATTGATAATTAAGTTTTAGGGTAAACTACGTAAATGGTCATGTACCTTTTAGGACTATACTTTTTGGTTATCAGATTTTTAAAATTTATGATAAAGCCATTAAATTTTTAATTCATTTTTATTATAATCATTATCGATAAAGAAAAGTGACGTGACTTTTAGAATCATCATCTTCCAAAATCCTCTAAAATCTTTTCTATATTGATAATTATCGCTCTCCTTCACATGCAGAGTGTTCAAGCAATCCTTTTGATGTTGTACGATTGCGTTTATTTTTGTTTCGGTTGCAAGGATGCTTGAAATCTCTTCAATTTTAGTTTGTTTTTCGTTTGTTGATGTTCATCTTTTCTCAAATAAACCAATTCTTTTACATTCTTTTCTGCTCATAATTGTTTAATTATCATTTAAGAAAGAAAAGGCGATTGCTATATTCCTCAAGAAAGTATTCCTTGATAGCCCCAAGTGACCGGAGATGTGATAAACGACGGCGACTGCGGAGAAGATAAAAGTGACGAGAGACGTCAAAATAACTTTTCATTTGGCCTACATCGTTTGACGACTCATAATTTTCATCTACGAAAGATCTTTTTGTCCAAAATAAAATATTATGAGTCAAAATATAAAAAAAATGTCAAAATAATTATTTAATTGAATATTATGTATATTTTTTTAGTATTGTAAGTAAACAAAACACCCAAAAAAATGAACTCTTAATAGTGAGTAGCCCAGTACATAATTGGGTATAGCCCAGACTCATAATAGATTGTTAATTCTAACTTCAGCTAATCTTTAGCATTCACCCTGTTATCTTTCTTCATGAATTTCAGCTAATTTATTCTCCGATCGAATGCAACAGCTTTTGATCATGGATGAATCGAATAGAGACTGATATCAAGGGAAAACGTACCGGATTTATGCTATAAAATTTTCTATTATTAATCTATTTTAATATTTTATATTTTTTTATTAATAATCTATTTTTAATTTTCAAATTTTATAATTTCACTCCTCCTAATTTCGTTTACTCTTCTTCACTTAAATATATATCTTTTTCTTATTTTTCTTATTCTTCACTTTTATAATTTTATCTTTGAAAGATGTTAATAATTTTATCAGTATTTTTTTAGTAATTTCTTTTATTACATTTAATATTTCATACAAAATTAAATTAAAAAATAGTATTATTTTTCTTAAAGAATTTAGGTTTGAATAACTGTACTTACAGGATATGTATACGTTACTAATAATTTTTTTTTTTGAAATATAAACAAATTAAAAAAATTGTCGTCCCGATTTTATACGTACTCATCCCTAAGCATAAAATATGAGAAGCAACTAGAACTCTACCACCATCTTCAAGAGTATTCTAAAAATTCTTAATCTAATATCTGAAACAACGTAGTTCGGTACCGTTATGTTCTCTTTTTCGTCAATCACCCGCGGAACACGGAAATGGGGCCCAGCGCTGACGAATCCCAACCAATCACAATCGTGTTTCGCATCAGTTACTCGCTTCTAATTGGTTATTTAATGCCACGTCACCTCCCCTGCAACCTCATTCATCTATAAAACACTTGATCCAAAAGAGAATAAAATATCAAATAACTCAAACACCAGTGACTCGCTTCTAATTGGTTATTTAATGCCACGTCACCTCCCCTGCAACCTCATTCATCTATAAACCACTTGATCCAAAAGAGAATAAAATATCAAATAACTCTTCCACCCTTCACCTCCGAATTCGATTCTCTCTCTGCCTCTACGGAGTTGTTTTGCGGTGGACGGACGACGTTTTGCGGTGGACGGACGACGATGAGGGTCCACAGTTCTATTTCTTGCATTCTACCATTGACTTTCGTTTTATTTACGTTTTTATCCTCTTCCAACGCTTTGGTTTCGTCTCCTCCTAAGGCCATCTCTGTAAGTTTTATTTATTTGTTTGTTCTATTCATTAGTTTTTTTTTGGGGAGGGGATTCAATATGAATTTGATGGGGTTTGTTTCTTGGGTTTTTTAGGATTTGAAAGAAGCGGTTGTGAAGGGATTGGGATTCCAAGCCGATGATTTTAAGATTTATGGGTTCGATCTGAGGGATGCCCTTGTGGGCCATTCGTTGGCATATGATTTCGAAATTGAAATCGATAATAAAGTGCTTCCTTTTAAGCTTTTGGAGGATGTAACTCGTTGGGAATACGTTGATTTGCCCATTTTTAGGGTGGAAGAACCGGGTAGACCCGGAGTTGAAAATGGGTTGGTAGAGCAGAAGAGGATTTCGGACGATGGATTACCGATTTTGGCACCGTTTCAGCTGGCTGGACCCATGGAACTCTGGCTTCAGGATGCCAAAGATATGCGAATCTCGTTGCCGGTGAGTTTTTTTTAAAAAAAGAAAAAATTCCTCTTTTTCTTTGAAGTTTTGATTCGGTAATTTAGTACTTTGAAATCCCTAGAATTCGTGGATTTCATACCTGTGAAATTTTGTTTTTGTTTGCCTTCGAAATTTGATACTCTTATATACAGTCGTTTGAAGTCTATTTATTCATCTTGTTGATGGCTTGATCCTGCAGCACGATGTAGATGCTGGTGTCTTGAAGAAGGTAATTTTAGCTGATGGTGCCGTGGTGACCGTCAAGGGTGCAAGATCAGTTAGCCTGCGCCATTCTGTCGATCTTCCGCTACCTCTTAACACAACCAATAATGGATTTGCATCCGGGCTTATGGCCCTTGCGGAGCATCTTCTTCATGATTCTCGCAATCAAGACGCTCCGATCCTTTCTCTTCGCATCGTTGGCCCAACTTCCCTTACTGTCCCGTCGTCTACGTCTTCAAATAACAAGTTGAAACTTAAGCGACTTGCACCTGGCCTTGTGGAACTATCTTCAATGTCCAAAACTAAGACCATGGATGCACTCTCCACTATTGATATACAAGAAGTCCCAACAGTTCTAACCCCGAAGCACTTCACGACAATGTGGCCACTTGCTTCCGTCAATGGTTCCAATGCCAATTTGGTCGGTTTCGAGAGACTGCTATCATCCGTGTTGGGTCCAAAGGCAAACAAGAAAGGTTACTTTAAGTTACTGAAGGCTGATGTGTCGGCTCAAACCTTTGTGAAACTCAGTTTTGGCATCGAGAAGAAGCTGAAAGAAGGAGATGGGTTTAGTTTGGAGGGCTTTCCTGAGTGGAGAACAAAGCCTGAGACTGTGAATATGCACTTTGAGGTACTCGCTAAGGTTGACGGTGAGAAAGTTATACCGGAAAGAATTGTCCAGGTTGACCCTGTTGCTATCGAGGATACAATCGCACCGAATGTGCTGGCTGGAAACATGACTATGTCAACCACTCCTGTTGTTCACCCTCCTCCGAATCCCTTCACCTTGTAAATTGCTAAAGACAGAAGAATCGACTAACCTTTTCTGTTTTTTTTCCTCAGATAAGCTGATAGTTTGAGAGATGTAAATTCTCATTAATACCTTTAATATATAAGTTAAACACGGTTTTGTCACTGTCATTATCTCATTGATTACATATTTTGTCTTGTGGATGGTTTCTCGGAGAATTTGAGGTATTAACAGAGCTGAATGACTATATTCTGGAAACATAAGATTGACTACATTAACCAGAGAATGAACACATCATTGGTATTTTGATTTCGATCGATGGAGATTCTTCGAAGTATCGAAACATATACAAAGCCCTTTTAACAGATTAAAGGAACTTATATATTACAAGACCCTCTGAGCAGAGCACTAAATTCATTTGTTGATGAATGCAACACCCTTTTGAATGCTTCCAGCTAATTCTTCCTTTGCTTTCTCCAAACCAGCCCTGTTAACAATCGAAAAGAAATTGATTCGAGTAGTCTGTTAATATCTCTACCTAAAGTAATGACAAAGTAGTTATATTTGTAACATTATATATACCTCTCGTATTCGTTTAGAGGCCCCAGTTGAAAGACTTCTTTTGCTCCGGTACGACCGAGTCGTACCTTGGTTTTGAAGAAAGGAAGTTCGGTAACCTGCAATTGAGATTGTCAAAGAAGAAAGTGAAATTGCAGAACTATGAAGAGAGTGTTGGCATGAAATACAGGTTCGAGACTCGTACCTGGGAAGCTACAAAGGCACATTACACGATTCCGGCATCTCCTCTCAAACCCCAGAGGCATGCATCTGCAAACTTGACAGCTGCATATGCCTATAAGCATATAAAATCTTCTCTTTAGTTTATCCATTAAAATCTTGGAAGATATAAGAAAAATCTGATACAAAATGAACTGAAGATAGGCCAACCATTGGCAGAGTAGCAGATCCAGCCCCAGCTTTTGCCTGCATAAGTGAACAGATGAAACTTAAAATTCGAGCTGTGATACATATCGATATAGTAAGAATAATATGTATCATCTTTAAATGAATTCGCCCATAACAACTATAGTACTTACTCTTAGTTACTAGCCTCTATGCATTTAACAAGTAACTTCCTAGCGTATGGATAGGTCCATACGAATCTAATAGTAGTCGACCGAAGTTTTAACTGCGGGTAACTAGTCCGAGGTTTGAACTTAGACCCCTTCTTCCTTTTTCTCCAAAATAATAGAGGGGAGGGGAGGTACATGGGAGACAGAGCTACGAAATGTCAGAAGGATATTCTAACTTCTACTATCTGTATATTTCATTTGTTGATTCTGCAATATCCGTTAGAAAAATAACATTATTATACCTCAACAACCTCTGTCCCACCATTTTGAATGTGATTTGTTAGGTATTCCGTTTCTTCGGGGGTGAAGCTGCATGGAGGTTTGACCTGCAAAGATTTAAATCCAGTAAATCCAAATGATGATAGATTATCAGACCTGAAAACATGTTAAATTTATAGATACTAATGAAGACCTGTGACAAAAGAGGCAAAATTGTCACTCCTGCATGACCTCCAACAATCGGGACATTAACTTCTCTAGGATCAAGTCCCAGGACTTCCGCCTGTCGGGAAACACGAGAAAAATCACATATATAAAGATTAAAAACCAGAAATGCTGCAAATTTTTTGTGTTCTATTAGAAAATACGAGGAATGCAATCAAATGGTAGATAAGGACATTGATTCTCCCATAATCTAAACATTATATGGTTATACATACCACAAACGTGTTAGCTCTGACAACATCAAGAGTTGTAACTCCCAAAAGTCGCTTCGGATCATAAGTACTGGCCTTCTTAAAGACCTCCACCGCAATTGGAAAGGTAGAATTCACTGGATTGCTGATCAGGTTAACTATTGCATTCAGGCAGCACTTTGCAACTCCTTCACAGAGTGTCTTGACAATTCCGGCATTGATGTTGAAAAGGTCATCCCTTGTCATCCCAGGCTTCCTTGGAACACCAGCAGGTATGATCACAAGGTCCATACCGGTCAATGCACTCTCAAGCTGCGGTTGCCCCAGGAAACCACGTACCTGAAATCCAAAATATTATTACTAGTATCGACATTCTCAAATCAACATAATAATCCGCTCTTCATTCAAAGTATAGCCTATGAAATCATAAAAATATTACCACTGCACCAGTGTCCATGTGACTGAGATCGGCTGTGACACCAGGGGAGTTCACAACATCATAAAGATGAAGAACAGAGATGAGCGGATTCATCCTCATTAGCATTGCAAGCGGCTGGCCGATGCCTAGGATAGCAACTTTGAACCCTGGTGATCCTCCTTTAGCTCTGCACTCAGCTTGCCTCAAAGCAGAACTTTCCTCCATCTGCCATTCACAACCAACACAATATAATCAAACAACAAGAAAGCCAGCTTACTAATTAAAACTTGTACCTATAAGGAGACAACATAGAAGAGAACCTGGGGATTCGAATGCTGGAGATGGACTGCGATCGTAGCGATCCGCTGGTTAGCCTCCATTTCTCTTTTTTCTTCCTGAGAGATAGACACTTAGGATTGAAGAGTGGGGTGGAGATCAGTTTCACGTTATACTTTCAAAAGAATGAATGGATTTAAAAAGAAAACAAAAAGAAGTGATAAAGGTGAAGTTGACATGAATGCATATATATGAATTTAGAAATTTACATTGTGTGGAAATTATTTGTGAGATTCTTATCTTATCTTTAATCGCGATAGTGTGGCTCTCAAAAACATGGTCTGGATTTATTTCCAGGGTAATAAAAAACTTGAGATGCCTGTTTTTTCTGCTCAAAAACTGTCTTGTAGTGTCTCATGACTAGTCCTCTATTTCTTAGTGAAAGCACCCGCAATGAGAAGATTAATCATGGTTATCGACGATAGATACTCCGAGAAGATTAGTCATAGTTATCAACGATGGATACTCCGAGAATATTAGTCATGATAATCGCCAATGGATACCCTGATTTCAATAGGGGGGGAACCTGTGTCCGAATGCTGTGAATGGTTTGTTATATGATCAAATATTTACTTCCTTCAACAACTGCTTGTCTAAGGAAGGCATGGTTTAAATTATCAGATACTAATTTATAATTTATTTTATTATTACTGATTGCATTTTCTTTTAAGTCATCACCATTTGTGCCGCTTCTTCTTTTCTACAGTCCATGAGGATCCGTACACAAGATTTTTAATTGATTATATTGCACACCAGAACGAAAACTAGAACAAACTTATGCCAATTGATTACAATAACAGTTCTATGACAAAATTGTAAAAAGGTCCAACATTGAAACATCAAGGCTTTAATATCTGCAACAGTAACATGGTAGGGATTTGGTTTTGCAAAGTAACATAAAAAAATCAAACCGTATATTCAATGTCGCAATAACAATGGTAATAGACGACAATTTTTGAGCAACCAAACTAGTTTTTTATCATGCTGAGCACTTGTTGGCTGGATGTAACTAGGCCTTTGATTTCTTCCCTTTAGCTTCAGCAGCAGGTTTGGCCTTGAAAGGCATGAAGGACTTCCCACCCATGAAGGGCCGTAAAACTTCCGGTATTTCAACACCATCTTCCTTCTGGTAATTCTCGAGGATGCAGCACATAGTCCTTTCGGTCGCAGTGAGAGTAGAGTTCAACAAGTGAACATATTGTTTTGTCTGCTCATTGTTCTGCAAGAGGTAAACAACAGAAGCCAAATTACAAAGCATGGACAAAAATTTAAACAGCAGAAATCAAGATTTGAGATGATAGATATTAAGCTATGGAAATAGTTTTAGACTAATGCAAACTGATTTGAATTCTAATGGAAAGGAAGAAAAAGGAAGAATTTGTTTATATTTCTTGATATATAATTAACTACAGAGCCAATATAACCCACCTTTTTTATCAAAAAAAAAAATATAACCCACCTTTTTCTGCCCATATCTAATTTCTAGTCTCCTTGATTGATAATCTGTACAATTTGAGCATGAAACCAGCTCTCTGTAAGTCTGAGATGCAGGAAACCATGCTTCCAGGTCATACTTCTTGGCAGCAGCATCATTGAGAGCACCAGAAACAATCACCACAATTTGATAAGGAATATTTAGCTGCATAACATAAGTCGCACTAATCCGTGTAAAGATTCCTCGGCCTTAAAACTTCAAAGGAAATAAGGTTCAACCAAAGGTATCAAGTGAGGGAAACTTTACATGCATGGTGAACTTTATTAAAAGATAGATTAGGGCAACTTTGAATTGAGGAGCAAAAGGCTTCAATTTCTTTGTTTTAAAAGTGATTTTATTTCACAGTGAAAACCAAAAAGATTATCACATTCCGGCCACTAACCCTTCCACATAGCATGGAAAATAAATATGAAGGTAGCATGATAGGGTTCATTGGTCCAGATAAAACCAACAAAGAGTTCTAATTATAGACACAAATAAGATTGGGTGTAAAAAAACAGAAACTGTTACTAATTCATAAGAAAGAAGTTATACCAGCTGATAAAAATCCTCAGAGTTTTTAATCATTTCCTCGTGCATGTCCCAGGACTCATTACCATTTGGACTGGTAATGCAGAACTGCTCCACTTTCTCAAACTGATGAACCCGGAAAATTCCTAGAGTATCACGACCATGTGAACCAGCTTCTTTTCGGAAACAAGATGAATATCCAGCATATCTGTGAAAATAAAATTTTCATATATAAAGAGCAACAGGAAACCCTTGACTAGAAGAAATATGACATCACTTCTTTTTCATGCTTAGAACCTTTTAGGTAGCTCAGAGGGCTGGATCCAGTCATTTATGTGGTAAGAACAAAGTGGTTGTTCAGCAGTTGCAATAAGATATTTATCATCACCTTCACCAGTCACCTAATGAACATCAACAAAACCAGCCATGCTTTCTTATTATAGAATATGAAATAATTGGCTAAAGGAACATGCAGACCAATGATTGGCACATTCCAAACCTTAAAGAACAACAATCATTTTCTTTTTTCTCTTTTTTTCCTAATCTATAAGAGGAATACTTCCTTGATAGCAAGTAAAGTCGTTAACAAAAATTAAATCATAGCTTGAATTAAATCATAGCTTGTAAGCAAATCAAGATCATCCAACTACATAGAAAGAAGAGACATCTTCAAATCAATTAACAAATGTTACCTTGTAAAGTTCCTCGTCAAACTGTGCCAATTGAGCACACTTGGCCATAACCTCTTTTCTCATGAAGAAAGGTGTTTGCAATGCTGTATATCCCCTTTTCTCCAAAAAATCTAGCCCGAAATTTATCAAAGCCTGATTGAGACGAACCCCATCTCCCTTTAGGTAGTAACCTCTACCTCCTGCTACATCAGCACCTATAGTACAGGACAAGGGAACATTAATTAAACTTCCAAGTTAAACAAACCAATTCAATTTGCTAGCTGAATTTATGCATAAAACAGCACAAGGTTTATCATGAGAACTACGGTCTAGCTTAAAATTAGACCCTAAACATCTTAAAACCAATAAACAGTATATTTCATTACATGCAACAAAGCATACTCTGAAAAATGCAATTACCCTTTTTTGTGTCTGCAATCCCAAGAAGCTCGACAAGCTCAACATGATTCTTTAGCTTAGGTTCCACACGCTTCCCACCCCAAGTTCTAATCACAGCATTATTGGCCTGCAATATATTGGCGGGTTAAGTAAATTACACTGACTAAAGCATTAGCAATCAAAACCCAAGGAAATGGATAGAAATCGATGCCCCAGTCACCTCATCATCACTGACGGGAACCGAATCGTGCACAAGGTTACCAATTTTCTCCAGTTTGGATTTTAAAACAGCCCAAGAATCCTTAACCTCAACGTCTTTCTCGGCTATTTTCTGCTTAACCTCCTCTGCCTTTGCAATCATCTCCGTTGCATCTTGCTTAGCGTTTTCAATACAAATTCCAACATATAAATTATGAAGCAAATCCCAGAACTAATAGATAAAGAGAGAGAGAGAGAGAGAGAGAGAGAGAGAGAGAGAGAAAACTCACAATTTTAAGTTGAGCGACCTGCTTATTGATCTTATTGAACTCTTTTCGCAGATTTTCAAGCTCATATAACACTGTACATGAAATTTAGTATTAAAAAAATCGAAAATCAAAAGGAATCGAAATGTGAGAATGAGATTGGGTACTTACATTGACGATAAACTTTGTCAAGGTCGATGACGGCGTCGACATCTCCGACGTTGGCGTAACGACTCCGTAACGATTCACGAATGGCCTCAGGGTTGTGACCCTTCTCCTCTCTGAACAAATTGATGTCCAACATTTTTTCCCCTCTTCGGAGAATATAGTGTGTCTGGCTGAACCAGGTCCAAAGACAAAAGTAACTAAAAGAACATGAGAACCCTAGTGTCTGATACTGTTTGGTTCCAAGGTCACACTACTCTTTCCTGGGATAGTTGTTTCGGATCTCCAGTGTACCGGGCTTTGCCCGTTCTAAATTGTTGGGTCAAATCAATTACTCGAAAATGTATATTGGATTTGGGTTTCTTGGGCTGCTTTAAATTTAAATTTAAATTTAAATCAAATTAAATTTTTATTTATTTTTAAAAAAATAACCCGATTTGATTTATGGAAAAATTATATATTTTCATATAATTTATTTTTTTAATAATTATGGGGAACTTTCTCTGCATATTATAATTGAGTCAATCTTTGGAAGCTGTGTTTGCCAGTCAATATAAGAATGAGAACAACAAGACGTGGAATGTTAATGGAAATACATTTGATTCTTTCAGAGATGTGGGATCTTTAGAGTTTACGAAACTCTCACATGATGATGAGTCGAATTTGAAAGGCGAGTTAATTTCAAAGAATGTTAATGATGAATAATTTACGTTGTTTTAGACAATTTATTATTTGAGATTTGATACTTTAATATTGTAATTTTTATGAATTTTAATTTTTGGTATAACAACTAATATCCAATCTATTAACTAAATAATTCAAGTCGGGTATTGCAGAGTCAAGGGCGACCCTCTTAACTCAGTTTGCTCTATTTGCAAACGTTTGGATTTAAACTTCTGACCTTGTTATTTTTTTATTTAACTACTTAAACGAGTTGGATGTATATTTATGACATTTCTACGTCTTTCTAAAATTTTAAAATTTATTTTATATTATTATATCATTGTTGTATTCGTACTCTATAATTTTTAATTTTTTTTTTATATTTATCCTCGTACTCGTATCAGTGCAACATAGCTAGCAACCCTTCATTCTCTATGCATATCTCCCGTTACTCTTCTCAAGCGTCATGTATAAAACATCCGACAATCCAATTGATTTTATGAAAACGCTAATAATCCGGTCGAATTCTCCTACATTGTTCGTTCTACCTTAAACAAAAAATAATCTCTCTAACATCTCATATAAACCTTTTTTCTTAAACAAAAAATCATCTAGAGGGTTAGAGTATTTGCATCATGATGCGGCAGACCGGTTATACACCGTGATGTGAAGTCGAGCAATATTTTGTTAGATGAAGGATGGAAGCCGAGGATTGCTGATTTCGGACTAACAAAGATCGTGCAGGACGGCGGTGGAGGGGAATGGACTAATGTTATAGCTGGAACTCATGGTTACATGGCTCCTGGTAAGTTTCTTATTCTTTTTTTCATATGATTCAAGCAACTTACATTGAAAAGACTTCTGATTTGGTTTGAATTGCATCATAATTTTCTGGCAGAGTATGCATACACAATCATGATAAACGAGATGAGCGATGTTTACAGCTTCGGAGTCGTGTTAATGGAGCTTGTCACGGGAAAAAGGCCGGCCGAGCCCGAATATGAAGAGAACAAGGACATAGTTTACTGGATCTATACTAAACTCAAGACCAAAGAAACTTTGGTTGATGTAGTGGATTCTAACATCTCAACGGCATCAAAGGAAGACGCCATCAAGGTGTTAAGAATCGCAGTCCACTGCACAGCAAAGATTCCGACGCATCGACCTAGCATGAGGAAGGTGGTTCAAATGCTAGAGGAGGCTGAACCTTGTAAACTTACAGATATTATTGTTCATAGAAAAGGTGAAAGTAGCCCCACTGAGAAATGGAAGAACAATGGTAAGTTAATCTAAAGCTTTTGAATTCGTCATCCGAATAACAGTTCGAGATTGATCTTCGGAACCCTGAGTGAGCAGCAAGCACTAGGAAGCTTCTTTTTCTTTTTCATTGGCTCATAAAAGAGAGCAAGGTTAGTTTTCGAGTTTCGAGTGTAGTTGCAGAAGATAGCTAGCTAGCAATAGTAGGCGATAAAATCAACAAGTATGCAGGTGTTTTTCTTCTTCCTCCTTGTAATATATTTGCGCCAGTTATCTCTCACGAACATGATGTAATCCTTCAAGGACATATGCATACAACAAATCTTATCTTTTTGGGAAAAAAAATGCTACAATCATAACATACATAAAAGGACTAAGTTGTTATTTTTTAAGTTGAGCGGGCATTTTATAACTTTTTAAAGTTGGAGGATTCAAAAAACAAATCTTATAATTTGGAGATTTACCCAAAGATAAAACTATGTTGCTTTAACAAATCACAACATGTATTAGAATGGGTAATTATCAACCTAAATGATTTATTAATTTCATCATTTTAACTAAGACCAATATTGAAACTTAAGGATAAGCTATATATCATAAGTCAATAACTTTTAGGGTTTGTTTTGGCCATTGAACTATAATTTTTCTTTTAATTTAGTCATTAAATATTTTGAATTGATCTTTTATTATTGGACCATTAAATCATTAATGATATAATGATGTGATTGTTAAACTACTTTAGTTGTCGGTCGTTATTTGTGATAAACTCAATATTAAATTGTTCATATTTGTCTTCTATTTCTTTTCATTTATTTGATTTTGTCACTATATTGTTGCCATAGAACGCTTCTTACTGTTCGGATTTTCTAAGGAATACAACAAAATCCTCAAATATCCTAAAACAATAGATTTTGTGTTTAATTTCATGAGTTTTAAATAAATGATAGAGTGATAGAATATAATCAAAAAAGTTTATTGGTGTCTAGTGTGATCTCAAAAGATGTTAGAGAACAACGATGATCGACAACGACTAAAAAAGAAGAAGGAAAAAAACCTTAAGCTTGATGGAGATGACGAGGTGGAAAAAATAGAAAATGTTATTTTAAATAAAAAAATAAACAATTTTTTTGGGTTCCACATCAAAAAAATAAAAATATAATTCCGTCCTATGACAACGATCAAGTGACATTTGAAAAGTTTAATGGTAAAATTAATTTTTTAATAATTAGTAATCAAAACAAAACATCTCTAATGATATAGTTTATCTTAAACTTAAGATTTAAATGCATCATTGTCCCTTAAATTATACACATTTATTGAGTTGCCCTTTAAAGTATTTTTCATGATATTTTCCTTCTAAAATTTAAATCGAATTATGTTAAAAAATCGATGGTAAATTATATATTAGTCATTTAACTATTCATTGATTCTTTTTTTAACGAAATTAATGATTTGAAACAAATGAGAAAATGATTTAAATTTTATGGAACAAAAGATCTCAAAAAATATTTTAGGAAATAACTCGGTATAAATAGTATACTTTAACGACGCATTTAAAAACTTAATTACATTGTCATAGTCAATTTGACACCTACCACTGCCCAACTGTATCTAAGAGGCGCCTAAGTTTGGCAGCAGTGGATGAAGTCATTAAAGTTGCAACTTTCTCTTGATTCATTGTTTTCCCATTTTTTGTTCATCAAATTATGGCTTACAAGTTTTTGTTTGAAGGAGTGATAGCTTCTCTAATGGGCTTGTTTTCTTGTACAATACTATAAGAAGAAAATTATTCAAAAAGACAAATACTTCTTCTTCAATGGTGTTTCCAGAGAAACTTGCTTAGAGAAAACGAGAAATGAAGAGATTGAGGGAAGTACTGCAGATATTATCATAGTTGGTGCCGGAGTTGCTGGTTCTGCTCTTGCTTGTACCGTTGGAAAGGTCACATTAAATCATCTAAATCGGCCTTTGATTAATTGTGTTAGTCACTTTAATGGTGACATCATCTTTGCCTACATGTTTCAGGACGGACGGCGATTGCTCGTGATCGAGAGAGACCTAAACGAGCCCCACAGAATTGTCGGTGAGCTTCTACAACCAGGGGGCTACCTCAAGTTACTTGAATTAGGCCTTGAAGGTATGCTGGAATCTCTTTTAGTGACACTTTCATGCTCTGATCTGTGTTATGTACCCTTTCAGACGTTGATTTTAAAGTCGAATTGCTGCAGATTGTGTTGACGATCGGATCGATGCTCAACATGTCTTCAGTTATGCTTTGTACAAGGATGGGAAGAACTGCAGATTGCCTTATCATATCGAGAACTTTCGATCCGATGTAGCTGGAAGAAGCTTTCATAACGGACGTTTCATACAACGGATGCGGCACAAAGCTGGTTCTCTTCCAAAGTATTTATCTTTCCCATCATAAATCCAACATTAAGTTCAGTTCATGTTCTCTAATTCCTTTGCAATGATGCAGTGTAAGTATCGAACAAGGAACAGTGACATCTCTGCTGGAAGAAAATGGGACCATCAAAGGAGTTGAGCACAGAACTAAGGACGGTCAAGTGTTGATAGACTATGCTCCCCTTACGATTGTATGCGACGGTTGTTTCTCGAATCTGCAATGCTCTCTATGTGACCCGAAGATTAAAGATTCTTAGCAAACTCTGTCGAATAACGAACATGAATCAGTAAGGCTTGGAGACAGCATAAAAGATGTTTGCTTTGTAGATTTTTACCGCAGGTCGATGTCCCCTCTTGTTTTGTAGGTTTAGTTCTGGAGAATTGTGAGCTTCCGTATGCAAATCATGGACATGTCATATTGGCAGATCCTTCGCCTATATTGTTTTTCCGATTAGCAGCACGATATTCGTTGCTTGGTCGATGTACTGGGTCGAAAACTACCTTCAGTCTCCAATGATGAAATGGCCCTTTACTTGAAGACTGGTGGCTCCCCAGGTACTTTTCTACATCTGTTTGAATTTAAGTGATGAAAAATTATTCGGTTTTGAATAATTTACTATGGATATCAGATTCCGATTGAACTGTACAATGCTTTTATGTCGGCAATCGATAAGGGGAACATAAGAACCATGCCGAATAGAACCATGCCTGCAGCTCCGCACCCGGCTCCCGGTGCACTTTTAATGGGTGACGCGTTCAATATGATACACCCTTTAACCGGAGGGGGAATGACAGTTGCACTGTCTGATATCGTCGTTCTTCGGGACCTTCTACGACCGCTGCACGATTTACACAATGCATCCGCTCTTTATGAATATCTCGAGTCCTTTTACACCTTCAGGAAGGTAAGATTAAAAAATGCAGGTTCAATATTGATGCACATATAAACATTGATACTCAGATTGTGATTTGCAGCCAGTGGCATCGACACTAAACACATTGGCCGGGCACTACACAAGGTATTCAGTGCTTCCCCTGATCCGGCAAGGAAGGAAATGCGGCAAGCATGTTTCGACTATTTGAGCCTTGGAGGCGTATTTTCGAATGGACTGGTATCTCTACTCTCCGGTCTAAACAACCGACCAATAAGCCTCGTGCTGCATTTCTTTGCGGTGGCGATATATGGTGTTGGCCGGTTGTTACTTCCGTTTCCTTCTCCTGCACGCATATGGACCGGGCTCGATTGATTTCGGTCTGTATCATGTGGTCATATATATATATATATATATATATACCTTGTTTCGATTTGTTAATAATATGTGAACATTTTGCATAGTGCATCAGGCATCATTTTTCCTATTATAAAGGCTGAAAGAGTTCGATAAATGTTTTTTCCATCATTTTCCACATTGTCGAACACCCAATTTCTTAATATATACCATTTTAGTTTTAAAATTTTACATTTTTAACTTTAAATTTTTTATTTTTTTTGTTAGGTTAAATCAACTGATAGAAAAAATAATTGTAGTGACTAAATGTGTCAAGAATGTATAATAGAGGGACATTTTACGGAATTTGACCAAAAAAGTAGTTAATACTTTAACTGTTCAATGGCCAAACGGTTGCCGCCATGGCAACAACAAATAAACTCTCATCTCTTTCCCTCTATTTTCTCTCATCAGATTCGTCTCAATCCTTTGCCTTCTCTCTCTTTCCAGAAACTCTTCCTTTTCCTCTTCTCCAACTCGCCCAAACTCACTTAAATTGAGACCTGCCGTCGTCACTGGTAATATCGAGGCCAATGCCACCACTGGATCCGACTCTGATGCGTAGAGCGGCTCTTCATGCGATTATTCCGACGGGTCGTGGATCTACGACCCGGATGCGAGATTCGATCGATATGACAGTAGCTGTAAGGAAATATTCAAAGGATGGAATTGCATTCTGAACAACAAATCTAACGGTCGATATATTGTTAGGTGGCTATAACTGTCATCTTCCTCCGTTCGATCCGCTCCAGTTTCTTCACACTTACAGAGATACTAATATTGGTATTTTCTTCTCTCTCTCATTTAGTGAAAGTACCAGCATAGTTGAGTTGCTTGTTAGTATGTTTTAGGAGTTAATTGAAGCAACTAGGGTTCTGATATATAAAAGAAATAAACTTTAGATGTGTTGTACTGGACGTTGAGATCATGTTCTGCTTTATCACTTTCCCTTAATCAATATTCAACAGTGTAGGGTTTGTTGGTGATTCCCTAAACAAAAACATGTTTGTTTCTTTGTTTTGCACTCTGAGACGTGTCTCCGGTGATGTGAAGAAATGGCGTCCTGCAGGAGCTGATCGTGGCTTTACTTTTCTCGACTATAATCTTACCATTGCATATCATCGAACTAATCTTTTGCCACGCTATGGTAGGTAAGCTGTTTCAAGCATTTCTTACCATAATTAGTATGGTATTTGCTCTGTGTTACCGGAGCTTGGACTACTTTATTTTGGCTGTCTTTAATGCAGTTCTCTCTTCCTTGTCTAATGCAGGTGGTTAGCTAATAGTAATGGTGGTAAGTTGGAAGCTCTTGGATATAAACAGGGTTATGGAGTTGATATTGATATTCCGGAAGGCACCTGGGAAAAGGCTCCTAG